AACTTGTCGCTCTCAAAGGTTTCATGTCATCACCTATCACAGTTAAATCTGGTGTTCCTCAGGGTTCACATCTCGGTCCGTTATTTTTTATAATTTTTATAAACGATTTGATTTACAAACTGTCCAGTCCTTGCCTTCTATATGCAGACGACTTGAAAATATACCGCGTGATACAGGACTTTTCTGACTGCGGTAAACTACAAGATGATATAGATTCAATATATGAATGGTGCCGGCTTAACGGTATGCACCTCAATGTTAAAAAATGTTTTGTTATAACGTTCACTAATAAGAGATATAAACAGAATTTTATGACTATAAAATTAACGAAGATTCATTAGACAGGAAAACGGTAGTTAAAGACCTAGGTGTGCTATTTGACTCTAAATTAACATTCCGTGAGCACTATGCGTACATTAAAAACAAAGCATTCCAGTTACTAGGTTTCATAACGAGATGCACTAAGGGCTTCAAACGGCCTCAAAGCTTCCTGACCGTTTATTGTAGTCTTGTTCGTAGCATTCTTGAATATGCTTGTGTCATTTGGTCTCCCTGCTACACGGTCCATTCAGATAGTATAGAAAGCGTCCAAGCTACAAATGTGGGTTTGCTCGTAATCTAGTTAGTTATAGTGAATTACTCGACAAATTTAAAGTGACCACCTTACTTATTCGCCGTAAGGAATATGACCTTATATATTTACATAAAATTCTCCATAATAAGATTGATTCCGATTACCTCTTAAGTAAATTAAACTTAACTACAAAGCGCAATCCCCGAATTCCTAACAAGACATTTTACCTGCAGACTTATAAGAATAATACTTCCTTTTATAACCCGATAGTAAGAATGTGTCGACTTTACAACGAGATATCCATGAAAAGCTCCGGCATGGATGTTTTTGACCCAAGATCCAGGACATTTAAAAGAGCAGTGAAACAGTTATACACTTATGCACACTCATTCCCATATCACATAAGTTTTAAGTTTCTTATTTGTATATTTTTATTTTTTGTTTACTATAATTATGTATGTCATAAACATTGCAAAGCGTAGAGTTGTTCTCCTGTATTTCATATAAAAATGATGTGTCAACATATTTAGGATAACAATCTGGCATAAAACTGTTATATTTATATTATATTGTAATGTATTTTGATTGTTATCTGTTTTGTTGTCCATATAATAAATAAATAAATAAATTTTTTTTTGTTTTAAATCCTGTCAACATAATTATTAAAATATCTTTTACGTCCGGTTTTATCAAACTATAGTATAATATTTATTTATCACCACTTACCACCAGGTGGGATTGTAGTCAAGAATTGGCTTTTAATACTTAAAACATTATGTAATAGTTTCAACGTCAAGAAAAATAAATTTACATAAAAAAAATAACAAACGCACGTTTTATTTTTAAATAACTTGTTTCCACTTTTTTGGTGTTTTATTAAGTAACCAGTTATCAAATATCTATTTATACATGCACTATTTATATGAAAACCACACGAGGTCATGATGCTAGCTTTTGAGAACTGTTTATTATTTATTATAATAAAAAACACCAAATCTTTTTTTTTAAGTATAAGGGTGACGAACGAGCACACAGTCAACCTGATGGTAAGTGGTTGCTGTGGCCCATAGACATCTATCCACGTTTGCGGATCAAAACGCAGATGCGTTGTCACCCGTGAGGACTAAGAAGGAATGCCTCTTTTTCAGTGAAAAGGTCTCCGGTTCTCTACACTCACCATACGAAACACAGCAGTGTTAGGCTGGTATTCTGTGAGTCCTTCTCCAGTCGAGGCGACCTTTGCTCGAGTTAAGCTGCTATTTTACGCTGGTATCCTGTGAGATCGTGGTCCTTCTCCGGTCGAACCGACCCATTCGTGCTGCAACTATACCAGTAATATAGCTGCAGCTTGGCTCTACCGCGTAAAACATGATAAGTAGTACATGAACATTGGTCGTTAACCCCCGCCGAGAACAGAAAGATGTTACAAGTTTGTAGTATCTGTGTATCTGTGTGTCTGTCTGCGGCATCATAGCTCCTGAACGGATGTACAGGTTTTCTACTGACTTCAAAAAGTAGGAGGTACTCAATTCAACTGTATGTTTTTTTATGTGTGTTATCTCATAACTTTTTTCTTGGTGAACGGATTTCGATGATTCTATCTTTATATGAAAGCTAGTGCTTTTCGTGTAGTCCCATATAAATTTGATCAAGATCTGACAAATATTTTTTAAGTTATTCTTAATAATTGATATTGAAGTCGGTTGTGCAAAATTTTTAATTTTTTTTTAATGTTTGAAAAGTGTCTTAATAGAGAGTATTCTTAGCTATGTTTTAAAAAAAACCTGTTTAGCTATTTGTAGACCATCAGCTCGTTTTGTTTCGGAGGCTTTAATTTTTTTAAATTTACGTTATTTGCAACACGCGTTGGAGCCCACGGACTCAAACTTACATAGTGTGTACCATAAAAAGGTACTCTGTGGCTGCGACCACGCGCACCGCATTGCCGCACAAATTTTGTTCGCTACGTCTGTTCTAGCACAGATTACTAAATAGTTTAGGAAATTACATATTATTTCATTGTAATTAGCTGCGTATGAGATATACCGCAGTGCGTGTTTTCGACGAACGAATTTCCAAGTCGGAGCTCCTCACCGATTGCTTTCTATTCGCAGTCAGCACGCGAGAACATGGATGGAGAGCTATTTATACTACAAATGTATTATGTAAGATTGAATATATATTTAACGCTGGTATTTGAACCGACCTATTTGTGCTACAACCATAATATAGCTGCAGCATGACTCTACCACGTAAAGTGAAAGTGGAAATAGGCTGACGATATCTATCACAGATTGATAGAGTTTTGAGTAGATATATCATAGAGAAGAGATGGTGTTTCTTCTTCTTCATTATAAGCCCTTGGAATTCCATTGCTGGGTATGAGCCTCTTAGATTTGCCATAACAGATTGACGGTATCCCATATGTCACTCACCTTGAAGGTGCCGCCGTTTCCGACCTGAGTATTATACGTCTTTTTTTTTTAAAACGTTACCCCCACACTAGGATTTTATCCTGTATCGCAAAGGCAGTTTACAAACACAAACTGCACAAGGACAAACATTCAGACCCGGAACAATTATTTGTAGGCCATACAAATACTTGTTCCGTGCGGGATTCGAACCCGCGGCCCCCAACACACCAAATCAATGTTAAGCCACTGCGCCACGGAGCCGTCTGATTCTGATTTAAAGGAAATGATTTTAGCGCCATCTATTGGAAACCTTATTGTTTTTCCGATATTTCCCATTGCTATGGAGCAAGGCAAGAAATTAAACTCACTGATGCAGTTAAACAGCTCCCTCTCTCTCTCTCTTTATTGAATTGAAGGATACTTATATATCTTTATCTTTATTTAAAAAAAAACACACTTCAAAATTTACCGGTACTCAATTCGACTGTATGTTTTTTTTATGTGTGTTACCTCATAACTTCTTACTGGGTGAACCGATTTCGATGATTCTGTTTTTATTTGAAAGCTGGTGCTTCCCATGTGGTCCCATATAAATTTGATCAAGGTCTGACCAAAAGTTTTTGATTTATTCTTAATAATTTATATTGAAGTCGGTTGTACACAATTTTTAATTTTTAATTATACATATCAATGTGACCCTAGTTTCTGTAAAAGGATAACATTGTTGATATAGTAATTATGACGTAGTTACATAAGTAGGGTTCGTGTTACGTGGTTCCAGGTAGAGACACGTGAATGGTGTCTTCTTCTATAAATATAATATGATATTACTGAACTAATTAGATATTATTTCTACATTTCATGAAGACACGTGTACTCCATATATGGAGGGTGTCATTTAATATTTTAGTTGCATTGTTTCGTCATAGTACCTACACTACATCATAGTCGCCTCTCACGACACCCACGGGACGAAACGAAGATTGCCTTACGGCCTCACCACACGGGTTGTTCGCGTGTTAGCGCCAGCCAGAATATAGTATACCGTTACCGTTACAGCTAGGGTTCCCAACCCTCCCGGATTGCCCGGGAGACTCCGGTAATAATGGTTAATATCCCGTCCTCCCGGAGTGAAATAATTTCTCCGGGTTTTCTAAAAATTATACGCATCCTTCGCTCGCACGTGTCGCACACTGGCTTTGCGGTCACACACAACATCGCGCACCGCTGCCGGTGTAAATCTGTTCGTCTCCTCAAGCAAAGTATTCAACATAAATTTAAAAATTAATAAATGATTGAGTCTTCTTCACTTCAATCCCCTAGCCGTTTTCATAAAATTCTCCCGGGTTGGTCCTTTCGAGAGTTGGTAATCTTAGTTACAGCATATTAAACTCCACTGCTGAACATAGGCCTCATAGATTGCCTCATATTTGCCATAGTTGCCACGCTTGATAGGCTGGTTGGCAACCGCAGTTATTGGAACGAAGTTCCTTATCGCACGGTACGAATTTGACGAATGGGTATACTAGGCGAGAAAAAGTGTAAGATTTTTCCGTCACGACCCCAAAGACGTATTAAAAAAGACTACTTTAAAAACATCTTAGTCACGACCCCCTTTCTATAGGGCGAGATAGAATAATATCCATCTCCCTCGCACTTTTTCTTATCATGCCATCTAAGAAATATTATTTTAAATGACGCTTCATTTTAATGGACGCTAGTAATTCATTTATTTGTATTTTTCAACCAATAATATAATACGTTTATCAATAATAATATTTACGAAAGGAACTTCATTCCAAACGAGTGTTACACAACACTCAGGCATGTTTTTTTTAATTTTTAGAGTTTATTAAGAAGACGCTGCTGTTCATCTTCTGATTTGTTTCCCTCTGTCGCTTCTTACGACAGCCACAGGATAATATGGGGTTGTGGATATTCTTACACCGCCACTACACGGTACGCTACTGAATACTGTATACATTTGTTTTACTAGTTTTTCATTTTTTTAGCGCAACGGGTCCCAAGAGTACGACGGTGTATTTGTCATAAACACAGGCGCCTCGGACTTCTCGCAGCTGGGCAACGTGGAGATGTGGCGGAACTCGAACCGCACAACGTACAGAGACGAATGTGGCGAAGTGCGCGGCTCCACAGGGGAGCTGTGGGCACCTGAACTTGGTCAGCCGGAGGTGACCATTTTCGCGCCTGATATTTGCACGTGAGTGATGCTGTCCTGGTATTTTTTTTTATAGAATAAGGACGACAAACGAATATACATACAGTTCACCTGATGGTAAATAAATGGATGCGTGGCCTGTACATCTACGTCTACCCTTGATTAAGAATTAAAATGCATAGAATGCCTCGTTTCCAGTGAAAAGGATCTCCGGTTCCGTACACTTCGATACGAAACGCAGCAGCATTGAGCTGCTATTTTACGCTATGAGAGCGCGGTCCTACATTCGAGCTACGACTGTAATATAGCTGCAGCATGGCTCTTATCGTGTAAAAATTGTAAAAGCTCATAAAAGCCTTAAACCTAAAGCAAACATTTTAAAGAAATAAACTTTGACCTCTCAACTGGGCACAGGACTTTGTTTAAAATCTGTGAGGATGTAATATCTTTTTACCACGTTTGTAATTTCTTCGCTTTCATACATATGTCTGTTCGGGTCGAATTTGGTAATTGGTTTTAAACTAACTGTCCGTTGAGTTACCCCAGAATCGAATGACCATGTAAGAATCTGAAAAAATTGGTGTATTAAAAAAATAATTATATAATTTAAAAAAAAAAACACTTTTATAATAGATAAATGTTTTACAAGCTTCGCCTTACCGCAGCTTATGTTGAGTGATGACCTTTTTTGGAATGTGTTTACGACTTACAACGCTTTTTATACGCGGTAGAGCCACGTGTCAGTTGTATTACGATCTCACAGTGTACCAGCGTAAAACAGCAAGTTAATGCTGGAAACGAGGCATTTCATCTTAGTACTCTGGGCTCTGGGGTGACAACGCATCTGCATTTTGATACTTAATTGAGGAAAAAATTTAGATGTCTATGTGTCACTGCAACCACTTACCATCAGGTGGACCGTGTGCTCGTTTGTCACCCTTATTCTAAAAAATATTAAAAAAATATATATTTATGCAATTTCTTTTTATTGTATAATATTCTTGTGTTGTTTACGTAAATATTTTATGCTGCCAAAATAGTGTGTTTCTTTCTTTCTTTTCTTTTTACCATGTTTTTTTTTTAACTCTATTGTATGTCTGTTCGGGTCGAATTTAGTAATTGATTTTAAACTAACTACTCTATGAGTTAGAAACTTGAAATTTTGAACATAGATCAGAATTGGATGACAATGTAAGAATATGAAAACGTGGTACGAATATTTTAAAAAAAATATACATATTTTGTTCTAATTTTATTTTATTTCTTACGCCGTATTACACGATCATACATAATTATATTCAGTTTGTTTGCTGCCAGTGATAAACCTTATAAGCAATAATGGAGATTTACTTTTTTTTCAGATACCTAACCCTGCCCATTAACAAACCGATCACCGTCGAGGGCATTGAGGGAATGCAGTACGCCGCTAACGATTCCATATTCGACAACGGATACCGATACCCAAGAAAGGTAAGTTATTTTAAAATGTTCTTTTTCCATCGTCGTCTTAATCAAGTGGTAACTTTTTCTTACCGCTACTGTTCTGGCCTATAAAATGTCAAAGTCCAACTACTGAACATAGGCCTACCCGTTGATTTACATATTTATAAAATAATAATGTACTTCAGACCGAATATCGGTCACGGTGGCCAGTTTCAACAGAGACTAGGGTTATAGTACCCGTAAGAGGAAATGCGGGCCGAGAGACTTGCAAATTAAGTATTGGAAGAAACTATAGCTCTCGCTCTACGAGCACTCAGCGTCCGATAAGGACAACTGCAGGTCCGACTAAATAGCCTAAGTAAAAAGGCATAATGCGAGGTTTGGCTCTCTACCATTTCCTCCTCCAATATTGGACTTTCTCTCCTTCACTCTCATAGTCCGATGGGACTGTGCTCAGACACGACCGGAGAGAGATCAGGCGCAGGACCACCGGCTTTACGTGTTTTCAGAGGCACGGGGACATCGTCAACTTTCTGACTCCGGGCAAATTGCCCTCATAGGGATATTTACCATAGATGCCAGCAGAAACAGAAACTTTTTTTATTCAATATAGAATATAAATAGTACTTATTTAAAAATCACTCTTCTGTTTAATTACCACTGGTTCGAAAAAAAAACTCTGCCCTGGGAAGAACCAGCAAATTATTTACGTGGTAGAGCCATGCTGCAGCTATATTAGTAGTAGGTATAGTTGTAGCACGAGGATCGGCTCGACCGGGGAAGGACCACGCTCTCACAGAATACCAGCGTAAAATAGCAGCTTAACGCTGCTGTGTTTCGTATGCTGAGTGTAGAGAACCGGATACCCTTTTTACTGAAAATGAGGCATTACATCTTAGTCCTCACGGGTGACAACGCATCTGCATTTTGATTCGTAATCGAGAATAGATGTAGCAGATGTCTATGGGCCGCAGCAACCACTTACCATCAGGTGGACTGTTTGCTCGTTTGTCACCCTTATCCTATAACAAAGCAAGAAACCCAGCGGGACTTTTTTTTTTAAATAACAGCTTACAATCATGTATATTACACAATTAACCACACACAACAAATTAGAAATAGCTTGGTAGCGATCACCTCATTCCCAGGTGTTATTATCATCCATAAACTCCTTAATATTTTAATAACCCTTTTTATACAAACTTAGCCTCAGTTTTGTTGCAGGCTTGGCCGCCACATTTTTTCGTTGTATAAAATGTTTGTGCTAATACACAGACGCTCAAGTCAATGCGTCGTCAAGTTGTGTACATTATTTTTAAATTTTATTTGTTTCACCAGGCATGCTACTGCGATGAAATCCGCGACGAAAACTGTCTGCCATCGGGAGCTCTGAACGTATCTTCGTGTCGCTTCGGTGCACCAGCTTTCGTCACGCTCCCACACTTCACGGGAATGGACCCCTACTATGCGAACAAGATTGACGGACTTAAGCCTTCTGAGTAAATATTATTATATTTTGTACTTAATTACTGGTAATTTAAAAAAAAACGTTAATTGGGGGTAGTTTACACACAAATTTCACAAGGACAAACATTCAGACCCGGAACAATTATTTGTAGGCCATACTTGTTTCGTGCAGGATTCGAACCTGCGGCCCTTGGAGTTGCAAGTTGCAACTCATTGCTAAGCCTCGTCGCGGAGCCGTCAAAATTGAAATACTAGTACATATTTGATATATTTACTTCAATTATTTTCTTAAATATAGCTTGTAACATATAATTGAAATACCTGACGTTGAGGTATTTTGTAATTAGCATTTCATAGTAGTTGCACAGAATAAATAATAGCACAAGAAGTAGTAGGATAGTATTTGTCATAGTTGCCACGCTTGGCAAACGGGTTGGCAACCGCAGTTTTAGTCGGTATTAAGAAGACGATCTACCCATCTCCCGATTTCTTTCCCTCTGTCGCCTCTTACGGCACACACGGGATGATATGGGGTAGTGGACATTCTTACACCGCCACTGTTTCAAATACTTATGGAGTAAAAATACATTTTCACATAAATATATTTAGCAATCTTGGTAAGGACTAGCGACTAGGCTACGCCTAGGACCGATGTGGCTTTATTTAGATTTCAGGCAATAATTTATTTTATCATATTTTTATAATTTAAAAAAGATCTCCAAATTTTTCCCATAAAATATAGCCTAAATCACTTCTGGTATTGCTCTCTCTCTCTCTCTATCTATCTCTCTCTCTCTCTCTCTCTCTCTCTCTCTCTCTCTCTCTCTCTCTCTCTCTCTCTCTCAGCCATAGAAATGATTATTTATGTCATATCAGCATGTAAATAATCCCTTCAACTCCATACAAGTCATTTATTCCATACTACAGACAGACGCTTCAATTTTATTTATATTTATAGATAATAGATAATCAAAAATAACTCAATCAAACTACAAGTGGTATTATTAAAAAAAATTGTACAACCGACTTCAATATAAATAAAATAACAACATCATCAATGTAGTCGAAGTCAATTAAATACGTAATATTAAGGATAATTCAATAACTACTAGTCAGAACTTGATCAAATTTATATAGAGCCACATGAGGAGCACCAGCTTTTAAATAAGAAAGAATCATCGAAATCGGTTCGCCTAGAAAAAAGTTCTGAGGTAACACACCAAAAAAAAATACAGTAGAATTGAGTACCTTCATCTTTTTTTAGTTGATTAAAAATACTGTACTATTTTGTCAAAATTGTACTATTTTCCATAGCAAAAGTTGTCAATTTTGTCACAATATACGCTTGTAAAGTTTTCCAAGTCTGATGAACATAGGCACCACCCAAGGAATGCCACAAAGCTCGGTCCTGAGCCATCTGCATCCATCGACTTCCTGCATGTCTTACTGTTTTATATCCCCGAAACTCTTCACCGCTGCATTGGAAAACGTTTTCAAGCTTCTGGACTGGAAAGGATACGGTATTAACATCAACAGCGAGTACATCACTCACCTTCGATTTGCCGACGATATAGTCCTTATGGCAGAATCGCTGGAGGACCTAAGCACCATGCTCAATGACCTCAATAGTGCTTCCGTACCTAGTACTTGCACTGTATTTTAAATTTATATAAGCAATACTATACTTTCAAGCGTGCATCTTAAGTGGTTCGTCGTCGTTATATTTTGTACTAGCTGTTCCCCGCGACTTCGCCCGCGTGTAATTTAGGGGTTTAATTTTACTGCGCGGAACCCTAATTTTTTTTCTTAAATATAAGTAGCCTAAGTTACTCCTTATGACATCAGCTATCTGCCAGTTAAAGTCCCATCAAAATCGGTCCAGCCGTTTCGGAGATTAGCCGGAACAAACAGACAAACAGACAGACGGGTAGACAGACAGACAGACAAAAATTGTAAAAATTGTGCTTTTGTTATAAGTAAATTTGTTGTAAAAAGCTGTTATTTTGACATTACAAACAGACACTTCAATTTTATTTATTTGTATAGATTTTAAAAATGATTGTTGTAACCTGTGGTTTAAATGTTTTCAGAAATAAGTCTTGTTTTCAATTTGGCAACATTAGCGCCCTCTATCTATACAAATATATACAATTGAAGTGTCTCTTTGTAATATCAAATCAACAGCTTTTTACTAATTGCATATGAAAGTATATGCGGTACATATAACAAAAACACATTTTTTAAACTTTTGTCTGTCTGTCTGTTTGTTCCGGCTAATCTCAGAAACTACTGGACTGATTTTGACGGGAATTTCACTGGTAGATAGCTGATGTTATAAGAAGTAACTTAGGCTACTTTTATTTAAGAAAAATAGGGTTCCGCTCGAAAAACTAAAAACCCATGAAACCCAATCGTAATAAATTACACGCGAGCGAAGTCTAGTTAAACAATGTAACTCTTGCAAATTTGAAACGATATATTATCTACAGTTATTATTTCTACACTCATAAATGGACGGTGCGAGTGTAATCGTTGTGTTCAATTTTCAGCGAGTACAATTTCGAACTGGCGCTGGAGATGTACACAGGCATGCCGTTGCTAGTGGAGGCACAGTTGCAGATCAACCTGTTGCTACGGCACGTCCCTGGTATCTCGTGAGTGCATCTTTACTTAACTGAAACTTGACGCGTTTTATAGAATAAGGGTGACAAACGAACAAACATGATAATAGGTGAATGCTGTGGCCCATAGACATCTACATTTATCCTCAACATATATCCTTAATATACAAGAATCAAAATGCAGATGCGTTGTCACCGCTGAGGACTGAGATGGAATGCCCCGTTCTAGTAAAAAGGATCTCCGGTTCTCTACAATTTCGTTTTACAAAAAACGTCAGATTAGTCTAATAGATTGGTTAGTCTTTTTTTAATAATAATTTGTTGTTTGTAATATAATCACAGAATAAATAATAGTACTAGATGTAATATCAATACAATAATAGTACTAGGTGTAATGTCAATTTAGTTTTATGAAAAAAAGTATTTTTTTTTTAAATAATAATTTACTTGTTTGTAACACTATAGTGGTACTTTTGTCACGATTTATTTTATAAATTTGCTGAAAGATTTAAATATCATTACAGAATAAATAATATTACTAAATGTAATATCACATAGATTTTCTAGAAATTTCATATCCTAATAATATTTTTAATACATTTCTCGTCACATATAATGTATCATACAAAATTACCTACATTTTCATTCTTATTTACAAAGGCGAATACACAAATGGTGGACTTAATGTCTTTAGCCATTCCCTTCCAGACTAAACAACCAGCTGCCGGACGCTGACATACTGGTGCCGATGTTCTGGTTCAGGCAAGAGGTGCGCATCAACGAGGAATATGCGCGTCTCGCTCGTTTCGCCCTCAACTTGCGAGACGGCATGCCTTACGGATTCTACGCGCTCACTGTAAGTTACAAGTTTATTTATATGTACTTAATTGTACATCATACAAAGGATTAAAAAGGGTGGACTTGATGCCTGGTGGCATTCACTCCCAGTCGGAACAAAACGAACATTATAATAAAAGCAAAAAATAATATTCAGCAATATATAGTTTCTATCACGAAAACATCGGAACAGTCGTTTTATTCTAGTATTATTAACCTCTACTCAGTGCTTGTGGAATTTGGAATCAAACAGGGAGGGCCTACTAGAGGAGGTCAAATAGTTCGCGGAACGAAAGGGCACCTTTTCGTTTCGCGGAACGAAATGGAAAGGGGGTGAAATTCAACATGATTTTTGTTTCCTTTTCTACGCACATCATCGTTGAAGCCACATGCAAGTGTGAGTAACGATTAAAGAGCAAGTCTATGTGGCAATATTCCGATGATATTCCAAACATCAGTCTGTCAGTCAAGTCCCCGGGCGAGGATGGAATTCCTTTCCTTTCCTTTGTTTTATAAAAACGTTACCTCTACACCAGGATTATCGCCTGTATCGTGGGGGCAGTTTACATACATAAATTTCACAAGGACAAACATCCAGACCCGGAACAATTGTTTGTAGACCATACAAATATTTGTTCCGTGCGGGATTCGTACCCGCGGCCCTTGGTGCTGCAACTTATTGCTATTCCACTGCGCCAGGGAGCCGTCAATTACAGCGGAGCTTCTGAAAACGGGTGGAAAACCGGTACTTGAGATCCTTCAGAAGCTCTTCAATTCCGTCCTGCATGGTGGGACTACTCCGGAGATGTAGAGCAGAAGTGCGATGTTCTTGTTCTTCAATAAAGTCGACAACGCTCTCTTGAAGAACTACAGACCGATTTCTCTTTTGAGCCACGTCTACGTGCTGTTTACGAGAGTCATTACAAATCGTCTCGCACGCCGACTCGACGACTTCCAACCTTCTCTAATTAATACAAGTCTACTCTCTAGTTCAAATTTATAACTTCGGAAAATAAAATCCAGAATATGAGTGATTACTGAAAATGACTCCAGTCAGTCATGTTCAGTGGTAACTCATGTCCTGTACAGCTGAATACGGGCCTCTCCCGATGTGGGGAATCTGCTAAATATCAATCCTTTGTCGATACTTTAGGTTTGGTCGGAGTTAAGTAGGTTTTTTAGTCGGTGCCAAAATAAAGTTTTTCTTTCTTTCTTTCTACTCTAAATAAAGCGATTCTTTCTTTCTTTCTACCCTAAATAAAGCGATTCCTTCTTTCTTTCTACCCAAAATAAAGTGTTTCTTTCTTTCTTTCTACACAAAATAATGTGTTTCTTTCTGTCTTTTATTGAAGTGAAACCTATTTACCGATGTAGTAGAGAAATATTAGTACAGTATTAAAAATCAAAAACATTACGTTTTCTTGTAACGTTTCACTACTACTTATGTAAAATAGGTATAAAAAAAAGAATTATATGTCGCAAAGAAGTTTTATAATTAAACACGTGAATGTCGCTAACAGACTGGTTTTATTTTTTAAAGTATACATAAACAATCATACAGATCTTATATGAAATTGGCATAGTACCATAAAAATATACTTAGGTAATACAATATAGTGTCTACATTGCACATGAGATGGCTTTACTAGTAGCAAAATACAAATAAGAAGTACTTTTATTATTTTGATACATTATTATAACAAGTTTCACTTCGTACGTGTGTACACAATTACTTTCTTTCTTCAAATTCAACTTTCTACTTCCAGAATGTGTTCAATCCTTGATTCATTATTTTTAAAATCTATCAAATTTATGTGCTACATTTTCATACAACGTACCGTTTTTGTTTCAGGCAATCGGCATATTATTATTGGTGTTTGGAATCGTATTTTTGGTGAGAAATCTGCTGAAATCGCCCGCAACGGCGCCCATCCTGAACGAGACGACCGTCCCCGAAGAGACCCAGTGACACAAGCAAATGATTCGAACAAGTAAACGCGTACAATATGTAATATTTCATAATCTACTGAGACTTAATCTTTGACGAAAACCCAAAGCGGAATATGCATTATTCTGTTTTAATACCATTAGCTAATAGCTATATAATATTATATGCATAAATGACATTTACCAATTTGATTTTAATATGTTGTAGTTTTTACCAGTTGTATATTAGCAATTAAAATAACCTTGACCTTGAAAGTAATGTAAAGAATTTATGCATTTTTTTCAAATCATTGACATTTCTGTTTAATCTTTGAAATAGTTGTAAGTATATTCAGTTATTATTTTTGTATACGATATATTTATACCCACCGAGCTATAAAGAGAGATATGCTTGGAGTTGATAGAATTCTTAAAGAAGATTGCCGTAGTGGAACTAGCGTAACTGACATAGCCCAATCAGTGGGCTGAAGTGGCAATTTATTGGCTAGAAGGGTTCTCGTGTGGCAGCCTCGTACCGCTAAACACAGTGTAGGCCGGCCCCAACTAGATGGAGTGATGACCTGGTACGAAATGCAGAAGTCGATCGATGAAGGTGGTTCGGGACGGTGCTTTGTGGCACTCCTTCAGTGTTCAATGAGCTGAGGACTTGTAATGGGCTGTAATTATGGTGATGATGATGATACCATATATTTATTTTTATTTATTTATTGTTTACACCTTAAAAGGCTTACAAGAGCGGACTTAATGCCCTCAGGCATTCTCTTCTACTCAACCCTGACCTTTTTTACAATATTAAATTTCTTTCGGATTCTTTTCAATATTTAACAATAATCGACGAGTCTTGACCAAGACAACAAACATTTTTTTACTTTGTAAATGTGTTCAATAAGTCACAGCAGTTTTTATTACTTTAACTGATATTAAATTACAAATTATGTTTTGTATTAATATATTTTTGTTGATACGAATTTGTACATATATTTCAGCAACAATTCTAATGTACTTATTACAACAATATCGTAAATATTTTAGAAAATGATAGATCGCCCTTTTTACTGGAAACGAGGCATTCCATTTTAGTTCGCAAGGGTGACAACGCATTTGCATTTTGATTCTTAATTGTGGATGAATGTTTATATCTATGGGCCACACCATCCACTTAACATCAGGTGGACTGTGTGCTCGTTTGTCTCCCGTATTTAATAAAATTGACGGTTAACCGGATGTATTCAGCTATAGATTACCGTAAAATGGAGTTGAAATGGTAATGTCAGCCATAGAATTCACATCACATTAGCAATAATTAATTTTTACGTATGGGGTGGGGAGGGGGAGGGGCAAACGAGGAAGAAACCTCCTAGTAAATCGTGGTGAAACACATTATCCTCTGTGCCTTGTCATTAACTTAAATAATATAAGACTTCAAAACAACTTAAACAACGTGATGATCCTGAAAGTTGTTTTATTTTATCCTGCAGATTCTAATCAGGATATTAGGATAAAGTTATTAAATTATTGTATTTTATACGATCCTTGAGACGAGTGCGAATTTTCATGTCAATTGACCGTTTACAAGTTGTTGAAAAAATTACATTAATAGATTCCGTTACACAGATAGAGAGATACACGCGAGGCTAATTATAAAAGCGTGTGAAAACGGAGAAATGTGGCCACGCTTGGCCACTGCAGTTTGTATGTTGTTATCAGAAGAAATATGCTGCTGCCCATCTCCTGTTTGTTTCCCTCAGTCGCCTCTCACTACACCCACGTCATTGATATTTATATTAATCTTAAGGTGCGTTCAGATTAAGTAACATGTTATGTAACTTTTGTTTTATAACACGTCCACATTATAATACATTGTTTTTCAATATTGCAACATATAACAATTCTGTACACATAACAATAACAATGCAATATAGCAATGTTATATGACATTGTCGTTTGTAGTTCTGCAGTGCTTTTCACAATGTCGACACGAGAAGACGTTTTGCTAGCTGCTGCAGCAACTCTTGTACTTTTAAATAACAGCAGAAAAAAAAACATAGATACTGGGTTCGTCCCAAAAAACATAGTTTATTGACTAGTGAAAAATACTCTCGAGTTATATAACATTTGTGACACGTTATATAACACATATTATAACATTCAGTGTCCACATTACTGTACCATGTTATATAACATGTTATGTTATATAATATGTACGCACCGTTAGACTATGTACCGTGTAGTGGCGGTGTAAGAATATCCACTACACCCTATCGTCCCGTGGGTGTCGTAAGACGTGACATAGGGAAACTGAAATAGTTGATGTGCAGCATCTTTCTGATAACAACTTAAAATAATAAAAGAACTGGGATTGCCAATCCCCCTGCCAAGCGTGGCAACTATGGCGTAATCCCCCCTATGAGGCAATCTATGGGAGAAGCCTATACAGTGGACTATACGCTGTAATAGATATACTAAGTATTTTAATAACACTAAATAAAACTTTACTAAATCTATTGTATATTTTCGACTTTAAGAGTTTAAATTCCCGTTTTAGCGATAGTTAAGTTATATTTATGTTACTTTTGAACTGTACGGGTCATTTTTGCCGAAATTAGTCAAGAACTTGCTGTTATATTTACATTTTTAGTACTTGCCAACCTAAGAAATCTATTCGAGTTTTTTTGTCGTTAATAATTTTCCAATTGTCTCGAGTGATGTAATTTGTTTTAGAAATAATATGCTCTATGATATATTGCTATAATATATCAAAGATCATTTTTGTCACAACTATTTTTATATAATTAATATCATTAATTTACATATATACATATAAATAAAATTGAATTGTCTGTCTGTAATAATGGATGATAACTGGCTTCTTTTAAGTTCAACGAGTTATTTGAATGATGTTGAGACATAAATAACTATTGTCATTGCCTGTTTGTCTCTCTGTCCGGTCTGATCTTCGGAATGGCTGAATCCATTGTGATGAAACTTTACGAACAGATGGAGAGCAATCAATGCCAGCACGACTAGCATGGGCTGGGGACAAAAAATGTCTCCGCGAATATTTCCACTGACAAGAGATAAAATTATCTTGTCCTTATGCCAAAGCACGGCAACGGGGAGAAGTATATCCCCGTTTGACATAACGAGTATGTATAACGAAAGAGTGACTTTCAATAAGTATTATTTATAATCTATATTGAATAAAAAAGTTTCTGTTTCTGTTATATGTATATAACGAATATATCCCCCGTCCGTAACATGGAGCCAAATGAAAGGGACAATTATATCCTAGTTTTCTAAGTCTGAGTCTATCTCCCATTTTATCTACTGTGGATATTATATCCACCGGTGTGCCCATGCTCTAAGGGTGGATAAAACTAAGCGAGGGGATAAACATTTTCTCCTTTCCCCGGGGATACAATTGGCTCCTGCCCATGCTAGCCCTGCAGGAGGGATCTTGGCTATATTTTATCCTAAAAAGTTGTAGATTTTTATTCAAAAAAATAAAAAGTAATACTTGATAAAATAAGTGTTCATTTCTTATTATTATTATTAGATCCTATCTAGGCGAAGCCAGAGCGGGTCGCTATTAATGAATATATCATTTATTTTGAGAAAAGAACCATTAAGCACTCGATTTTTTATTGTTATACCATAAATGTGTAAAAATGATTAGTCTTAAGTGTAAGAGTGTATATTTTTGTAATGAAATAAATAAATTAGTTATAATTGTTATAATTAAAATTATATATATAATTATAGAAATGTTTCGACCTCTTTGACAATGTTCATTGACGCCGATCTCGCCGACCTCAGTTGTCTAGCTTGCTCGTTGGAGCACAGCCCAACAGCAATATAGACCTTAAAAAGCGATTCTTCAAATTCCTTGCTACCAATTTACCATGGTCCTATATTTTTCCCTTAAATATAATAAATATAATTCCATATAAGTATTTTTTTTTTACTTTAATACTAAAATAAATAATAATTGCAAGTGAGTGAGAGAAATGAATGTCGCCATATTGGTCTCTCTCACGCACTTAATTTAGTGATTTTTGATTAAATATTGATACTAAAATTATTTATTTTATTATACCTAACAGGTTCTTCCATCATTACAATAAAATCTTCGAGGTAGTAATAAGGTAGTAATTCCGGACTCTAGTATTAAAAATTTAAAAAAAGTGCCTGTTATGAGTAATAACTATTTTTAATATATCGCATAAGCCAAATATTAGAAATTAATCCAGAGCAAAAAAAAAAAACATTGAATAACGTGTGAATGTTTTATGTAATATGGTGAATGTTGAATAGCTGATTACTGAATAACATCGTTCTACGCGAGCTTTTGCTCTGGATTTCAATTACATATGTATATCGAAGACTATGCTTCCCCGAAAATAGTTGTGTTATTTCATTTAAATTACTTCCTTGTTACCACTTTTTTATAAACATGTCACGGTTAGAAGTGCGGTTTCGACTACTACAGTGCACACAATTGTAGCCGGCTACAACTGTGTGCAGGCGATTGCGGTTGGCTTAACAAAGGTGTGTTCAAATTATTCATGGCTGAAACTAGGCCGGTTGCTCTCTGGTAAAACAACGTACAGTTGAGTCGTTAATATAATAATATTAATTAAAATGACTGTGTATTCTACTGTCTTTGTGAAAATAACGAAAACTACGATTTCTGTTAAATATGTCGAAAATACGGAAGCACATATCAAGTGTTACCAGAGACAAAAGTAAAGTTGAAGCAAAACGCCGTGAACATTTATATTGTATGTAAACTATTTGGAGAAATCAAATGCAACTAACATTAAGACCGTAAGTTATAACGCATTTGACTGCACCTAGTTGTCACCTAAAGCTAGTTGTGTCCGCCATTTCGCTTTTGGCCATAACATATACTTAGGCTATATTATCTAAGGCTCCATCATATAATTTTGAACTAAAATGCGTTCAAAGTTTCTGAGGATATTTCCAATTTCCTTATTATAGTTGAAATTTTTATAGTTCAAT